GTGAGATAGAAATTAAGTTTTTACTTTTAAAAACTTAGCTATGCATCAACTATTTACAACAGTTTATATATAATTCATTTCCAATATGCCAACCATTTTTTTTACTTTACAGTTCTTTTATTTCCCAATATTTTAGAAGAGTAATGTGTCATGAATATTCATGGTTTCAATGTTTATGAAAACTAACCAGTGACACTGGCTATAAACTAAGTAGCTATTTCTCCACTATAGGTGAAAAGATAAGACTTCTATTGATCACCTATTGATCCTCAATCCTATCTAAACTTTCCTTCTTATTCTGCCTGGGAATGATCCATTTTTTAACTCAATACACCTTCAAACAATAATATCAGCACTTCTTAGACTGACATTCAAATTCCTTCACAATCAGGAGGAACAGCATGATGTAATAGAAAGAATCAAAATCTTTCATAAGAAAACTGAAAATTAAAACTCAGAGAATTAGTAGCTGACAAAGATGGACAAAATAGATTAATATGCTGTGAACTGTTTTAACCATTCTAGAAACTATCTGACATGATGACAAGCAAGTTGATACAAATGTCCATACTCTTAAGCATAATGCTGGACACATAGTAGGCATTTAAGAAATTTTTATTCATTCCCTATCTACCTCTCTCTTTCCTTTTGACCCAGAGATCCCACAGCTAGAGATATACCTCAGTAAGATCAAAGGTAAAAAGATCAAATATGTTCCAAAATATTTGTAACAGCACTTTTTATAGTAGCAAAAACAAAAACCTGATAAAAAATGTCCATTAATTGGTGAGTGGCTAAACAAAATGTGTCACAATAATCTAATGAAATATTACTTCATTGTAAAAAGTAGTACATATGAAGAATACATAGAGATCTAGGAAGACTTACATGAAGTAATCAAAATTAAAGAAACAACATGTATACTGATTACAGCAACAATATTATAACAACAATAAAAACTGAAACTAAACATTGAATAGTTATGACTGATCTTGGCCCACCTTCTTTGCAGAGGTGAGAAACTGTGGAGTATATTTGATTAATATGTTGGTTAATCTTGTTGAACTGCTTTTGTGTCCCTTTCTTTTTTATTCTTTGTTATAATGGTAGGAAGTGAGAGGAGATATACATTAAATTGTCAACATTCCTATATTTAACTTCCATGACTTCAAGCATTAATATGATTTTATTAGTAAATTCATTTTCATTTTCCCTATAGTGAGAGGCACAATGTGCACAAGTTTGTAGAACAGTTGGTATTCTAAAGGGCGTTTCACTGTTCTTGTTCACCCTACTATTGTAAAGAGCTACCTATGCATTCATTAAGTACTTTTATTATTTGCCTTCAAAACTCAAAATTTGGTGTTGCAATTGTGTCCCCAAAATGTACTGCAAATCCTTTGGGTTCAAAGGCCAAGCAAGCAAAGTCAGTGATACAGTTTGGTGAAAAAATAAAAATGTTAAACAAACTTTGTGCTTGAATATCTGCAGGTACTATCACTCCAAGCTTGATGTTAACAAACTGATGATTGGTTTTATCTGCAAAAAGGAGTAAAGAACTTATGGTACTGGAAATTTCATGTGTCATGAAAAGTGAATATTGTCTGAAATTATTGTGTTTTTTTTTAAATTAAGGTGTTAGCACAAAAAAGTCACATAATTCTAGAGAATTGCTAGCAAGAAAAATGTTTTGCATGTTACCAATTTTATTTTGTGTACTCAATTTTATGAGTAATTTCATGATTACTGTGTTAGGAAAAGTACATGTTATCAGAATTAATGTTTTGTTATAAAAAATTACATGCAGAAAAGTATTTTTCAACAATCTCCAGTGAAAGATTATAATTTTGGGCGGTTGCAGAAAACTGACCCTCTATTTTCCATAGGTTCAATGTATCAATGTTCACATTTTTTACTTTTAGACTATTTTTTAGGAATATTACCTCTTTGAAAGTTGAGGATTGGCTATATTGAGAAATGAAGGTTATATAAAAACAACATATCAATAAAACCAATTTTTTAAAATATCAGGATTTTTTATAGCTGGAAGTATCCTAAGAAATAATCTATTCTATCCATCTCATTTTATAAGTGAAAAAACTGAGGCCAAGACAGGTAAAGTTACTTGCTATGGGAGTAGTAGAGCAAGCCTAGAAAACTGGGTCTCTTCTATCCAAGCACAATATTCTAGCCTCCACACCATCAAGTCTGAAGGCCTGTCAAAACTAGATCAATAACCTCAAACAACTCAATTAAGATCTCTGAGCCTCAGTTTCCTCATCTATAAAATGGAGATAATAAATTTCTTAGCTCACAATAAGGACATTATGAAGATTAAATGAAATAATATGTATAAAGTATTTTGTATGTCATAAAAGTACTATGAAAATGTTAAGCTATTAGTCTTAACTATCTTTCCAACCAAATCTCATGTTATTTTTCCTCACGTACAGTTTACTCTGTCCAATTGAACTACTTACTATCCCTTCATTTCCTATTTCTTTGCCTTTACTCAGGCTATTCCTAAGACTGAAAATGTCCTCTCTTCCCTACACTCATCTTCATTTATTGCTACCTTATCCAGGTTCCAAGCCCAGTTCAAATGCAACTTCTTCCATCAAGCCTCCTCTGATCCTCCCAGATAGAAGTGCTGTCTCTCAGACTTCATTTGCTCTCATGATATTTTATACTCTAATTTTAATTTCATCTGTGCATGGACTTTATCAATCCTATTAACACAAAAAGTTACTTGAGTACAGGAACTCTGTTTTTATCCATCTCTCCACTTCTTTCAAGAGCTTAGAACAGTGCTAAGTACAAAGTTGGTACTTGATACATTCTTTGTTCTAGTGAATGAGTAAATGAACATAGAAGCAAAATATCAGATTCAGTGACAGCTATTTAAGGGCAAAGTGTATGCATATTAAATTAAAATTCAAATATTAGATATGGTATCAGATCAAACACGGTAAAGTGAGGAGGGTCAAACAAAGCTGCAGATCTGCGAGTCACAAAGAACCTAATGAATGAACTTGGCATAGCCATCAATCAATTTTCAATTTTTTGTGCATTATGCATGGCTATTAGCTAAAAATATAGATCCAAGATTTACAAGCTTACTTTATAACTACTACATTCAAATGTTTTCTGAGCTTCTGAGAAGAAAAAATTAAAATTTTCCACAATATAGTTATCAAAGATACTTAGTATTTAAAAGTTACTACTAAAGTCAGCAGCCACACTTTCAATTGTCTAATGAGATATTAGACACCACAAATATATTAGGCATAAGGTAGCCATAATGTTGTCAAAGGAATAGTAAAGACTTTATTTTCCCCCCAGAGGCTTTGATGAGGTTACATGATTCTATATTCTTATTAAGAAACACATCAGTTGAATTACCCTTTGTTCACCACTGGTTTCAAATTCTAGGGTGATAAAAACAGAACCCCTCTGGATACAACTATACAGGTCCTCACATCAATCTGTTGAACAGTTATTACTTTCCTGGTGCCTGAGAATTCTAATCTTTAAATAGAGTGCACTAGTAACGTTATAGGGTGCTCTGGTGATGTTTTTCTAAATATATTTTTCTAGTGAGTCCTTCCCAAAATACTTAACAATGTTATTTAAGATATGTACATTAAAAATACAAAATTAATATTTTAACAGTTATTCATATTCCTGAGGCTAACATAAGCTGGACTAGTGAAAATCCACTTATTGTTTATCTACTACGTAATTTTTTAAGAAAGATAGTTTATGGAGAAGACAAAAAACTGTCAATAATCAGTTCTTCATTCACAGACTTAGCGTCTTATTTTTGAGAGCTTTTAAAGATATTCCCCTTCATAAAGCATAAAGCATAAAGACTTTTCAATTTTGTGAGTAATGTTTCCACAGAACATCTTTTTCAATTGCTTTGGTACCATCTCCAGCTACAAGGGTTGAGGAAAGGAGAACGGGAAATCCTATCAAACACATTTCTTTGAAGACATTTTTATCCAGAGTATAGTGATAATCAACAATGAGGTTTTTTGGAAGCACTGGAACTATCCACACTTTATAGAATACTTTAAGGCTATTTCATCCTATGCACAGAACTTTGACAAATTAAATCAGCCTGGATGTTTCGTGGTTTTCAGGTAGGAAACCTGAGTGGTATGCTTTGAGGTTTCTTTCAAGGCAGGATCATGTTTCTGTCTCTTTGAAACCCTCATTTTCAACAGCATGTATGAGAGTAGCAGGCAGTGATTCAAAACATCATCAACATTATCACCAACAAAATCCCAGTGTAACACAATTCCTAACAGTTTCCATAGAAAATGAAGCCTAGGAAGACAGCATTGCACCAATCGAAAATTGGGGGGGGGGGTGCGCGTGTTATTGCTAAGGGTAATTTTGCTCCTGGCTTACAAATGAAGCATTAATGGTTGTAAAAATAGTAAGAATCATAATCCCCTTACTTCCATAACAGCAAAGTAACCCTCTTTGCCCATCTCCATCAAAAGCATGGCTTAAGTTCTCCTTACAAGTAGGAAAGATTGGCCTGTACAGCCTAAATTTAAGGATCCTTTTTTAGCTAGGAATCGGATACAAGGGAGAATCTTTTGCACGGTTGCCATGCCTCTAGGATAGTAAAGGTAGAATTTGGAAAGCCTGTGTGTGCGTCAGGATGGGGGATTTAGGAAGAGAGGAATTCGTTCTTGAGAGGCAGAGAGAATTCGGGAACAGAGGAGGGAGGGGGAGGATTGGTTAAGGCAGCTATCCTCCCCCGCACCCCCAGACTGCAGTGTAATGCGCTTAAAAGAAAGCCAGACTCTAAAGGGATCTTCCTCAACCACAAGGGAAGATCGGGGATCTGAAAAAGCAATAAGAAGGAGAAAGAGGGGAACCGGGAAATGGGGCAAAGGAGACAGAGCTGGCTGAGGAAGCGAAGAATCATCCTGAATCAAGCAGGAGGAACGGGATGGCAGAAAACCCGGCATTCAGGACCCTACCTGAACTGGATAGGGTAGAGGATGCTCCCGGCACCTCTGGCCTGTTCTCCTCCTCTTCCTCCCGCTGCTGTTGCTGTTGCTGCTGCTGTTGTTGCCGCTGTTGTTGCTGCTGGATCAGGCTCAGGTCGGAGCGGCTGGGCTCGGCTCTCGAGGCTGCGGGGACAAGCCGCCCTTTCAGCAGCACCGCGGCTAGACCTAAGAGCAGAGTGAAGGGAAAGCTCCCGCAAATCCTCGACATGGCGAAAAGCCAGAGGGCAGAGGAGGCATATTGCGACAGAGGGGCAGCTCTCTGGGCGGAGGCGGCAGAGGCAGCGACAGCGGCCGGGCTGCCTGCTCCCCCGCCTCACTGGCCCGTGGACACTTGGGAGCCCGCTCACAAACACATACACATGCACAGGCACACACACACACACTCACACACACACTAAGACACGCGCACCGCGGAGTGGGGAGAGGAGGAGGTGGCTGGGAGGGAAGGGGAGGAGAGGGGTGGGAAAGGGAGGAGAACACTCGGAGCTCAGCACATGTGACGGGAGCGGGTGAAAATGGGAAGGTGAAGGAGGAGGAGGAAGAGGAGGAGGACAGCTCGCCGCACCCTGGAGGACCAACGGGGGTTGGGATTGGGAGTTATTTCAGAGGGACAGAGAAGGGAGGACTCAGAGTAAATTTCTGCTATGGCTATTCTTTTATTTATTTATTCTTTTTTTGGCTATTCCTTTAAAAGCAAGCTTTTGCCTATAAGAGTTATCCTTGGATCGGGAAAAGGCCCCGTGCCTTCACCCACATTTAAAGAAAAATTACTATTCCCAGACTTACTGGGCAGGGAAGAGAAGGACTGGGTTACACCAATACTATCACAACCCCCTCCCCCATGCCAGGAAAGGTACGAATTCTTGCCATTTAAAAACCTTATACTAGTCCAACTGGTGGGTAACTAGCTCTAACTGGAGTTAATATTAATCCTTCAAGGATCCCCACCCCAGGCACAATCTACTTTTAAAATCTAATCTTTTTCTCCCTTCCCCTTTCTAAGGAAGTGGAGGAAAGGTTCGAAGCCCCACCATCTTCCATTCCACTTCCCGGGCATTATCCTGAGGTTTTGAGCACTACCGGCAGAGCCTTCTTTGAACTTTTGCAGTAATCAAACAAGAAGCATTTGTTGAGGGCCTACAATGTGTCAGACTACGTGCTAGGATACAAATGTAAAGAAAAAAAGGCACAGCCCTTGCTGCCAGGAACTTAATTGGGGTACATTTGCACGTGTAAGTAAATTTAAAATACAGCCAGAGAAAATGCAAAGTAATTTCTGGGTAGGGAGTAGAGGGTGAAAGGGAGTAAATTGTAGCAACTGGAGTAATCCTGATCGACTTCATGTAGGAAGTGACTTAAACTAAACTGAAGTAAACTAGGGATTTTTTGAGACTCCCCATGTATGTTACTATAAAGATAAACTTCAAGTGGAAACCTAGAAAGAGATTTATGTTTGGACAGCACTACCCCTTTATAGGTTTAAATTGCAAAATCTGAGACCCAGCATAAAGGGCATTACTTTAAGGCTCATGCGGCTACTGTTAGAACAGAGTCCCTTAGGGTACTTATAAACCGGCCGCAGGAAAATCCATCTGCCTAACTTGCTATAAGTCCCCAAGGAGAAGCATCCTTTGAAGAGCTCAATCATGCATACTCCAGACATAAAATCATCAGATTTTAGCTGCAGTGTGATTAATGAGAGCAGGGGCTGGGGGAAATAAAGGACATTTATTTGCTGGAAGGTAGATTAGATTCAGTTATTGTCATTTACTCTGGCAAAAACAAAAGAAAAGAAAAACCTACCCCCTCAATAATGGTGAATGATATGAGAGATAGATGTGCATTTAGTTTAAATGATCCTTGAAAGGAAGCTTCTTTTGAGAACAGTGAGGACCAGGTAGTTTATTAATTGCTATGTCAGGCAAAATACAAACTAGATATACTAAAGCCAGTGTTAAATCTGAAGCTTTTTGGTTAACTACTAGGTTACCATTCATTCTACCTTTTCTTCTCTACTACCCCTATTTTCGCAGAATATTCTATAACCACCATCACCACCAACTTTAAAATGAAACTTTTTTTTCCCCAAGACTTGAACATGTCCATGTTTTGGTGAAACTGGTTGGTAAAATTGTCTTTCTCCCAATAGTGGAATTTTCTTCCTTTTTAATATTGTAATAACTAATTTATTCCTGAGTGAAATACCAATCTAGACTGTCACTTTTTGTTCCTCACCAAATAGCTCAAGGAAATACTCTTGGCTTCAGCAGGCTTATTAAATTTGCACTTTCAAGAGATTAAATCATATTCTTGTTTAGAATTTAGATGAGGTGGAGTAGAAAGTAGGGTTCATGTTAAGAGTGGGAAGGAATGGTTTGTGAAAGAACAAGACCACAAAATACTTTTGGTGAGCAGGTGTTGCCTGTCAGTGTATATATGTAAATGAATGAAATTGGTCATCATTGGTTCCACCACAGCTTTGTCTCCTGTGTGTAAGCAGGAGGTATTTGGGAAAGGGGGAGGGGAAAAGAGGATAAAGAGCTGAGCTGGTATATGCCTAGTGCTGCAAACCCTCATTAGTCATACCAAGCTGCTTGTGTTGCTTTTTCTTCCAAGTTGCCTCTGATCCTGGAGAGAAGAGAGGAAGAAAAAATGATTCCAAAATACTGACTGGCAGATCAGAAAGAAAAGAAGGTTTTCCAAGAAGACCTATACATCTGTCTCTGTGGTGTCCACCTCTGGTTTAATTACACTGGCATTGTGCTTTAGCAGTGGAGTTACTAATTCAAAGACTTCCCTCTTCCCCTCCCCTTCACTTTCCATTCCTATCTCTAGCATCACCTAAGCATCAGCATATAGTAAGTTCATACTGTGGGTAAAATATTTTGAGGTAAGCAAAATTTTATACATCAAAAGGTAGCTGTGGTAGAGTGGAAAACAGAGGTTTTTGAGTGAATAGACATGTTGAAGTATGAGCTTTGGTAGTTGCTACATAATTCTATTCAAGTCACGCTATATCTCTAAGCCTCATTTTCCTCATTTGGGCATGTATCTATGCAAAGGATATGTGATTTCTTTAGTGTGAAAGTGCAACTTGAATACTGCCTTCTAATGAGGCCTTTCCTAATAAATACCCCAGTTTAATTTTTAATGATTTTATTTTGAATTTAAATGCAAAGAATATACACATCAGAATACAAAAAGAATAAATGAAACCATGAATCTTCATTTTATACTTTATTCCTGAATAGGGTTAAGGAATAAGATTACCTTTTTTATAAGTATGTGATAACATACATTCATGAGCTATTCATATGTTTCATAACTATACTTCCAAGGGCAGAATGACTATGAACTTGGAGTCTTTTGAGTCTGCCTTAGTAAACATGAATGAGCCTAGGTGATCTCTAGGATTACATAAATAAATAGATAAATACAAGATTCACACAACATAGACGGATGGAAACTTTTTAAGCGATTATATTAGCAGCTATGGGTCTCCTGCTGATTTCAAGCTGAGTCTTGAAGGAAGCCAGGGATTCTAAAAGGCACAGGTGATGAGGGAGTGCATTTCAGAAGACTTGGGTTTAAGTCTCAGCTCTACTGCTTATTTCACTCACCTCACACAAGTCACTCAATAACTCTTGGTTTCAGTTTTCTCATCTGTATAATGAGAGGTGCAGCAGAGAGAAAAGATTTCTAATTTCTAGAGACTTAGTCTGACAAATGTATAGAAAAAGAATTTCAGAATAATTCTCTTTATAATATTAATGTTTTATTAATATAATGATAATCTACAAATTCAAACATAAATATTAAGAATTTTGGTTTTGTTAGAAGTAACACAAATCTGGCTCATATATTACTTTGATCAACAAGCACACCATTCATCTTATCTTAAAATATAGAAAGAGATATGAATTTTCATGCATGGCTAGTTCGGGAATTTGTTTTGCTGGTATACGCACATATATATTGAAGGATTTGTTTTGTATATTTTTAAAGTAAAAAAGTACATTTTGTTAATATGTCCCTCCCAATACACCCATTTAGCAATTTTTTAAAAAATCCTTCAGTATGTATCTTTATATACCAGCAAAACAAATTCCCACACTAGCCATAGATGAAAATTTATGTCTCTTTCTGTATTTTAAATTCTTTTTTTGTCATAGATGAATAGAATGTTTTGTCTTTCTTCTTTTAGACTCATGGCTTAGTATTGAGTTGATCAAACTTCTAAAGTCTTTAAAGTCTTAAACACTATGCCATAACAGTGCCTGACACATAATAAGCACTTAATGATAACAGATTGTTTGTTGTGTACATAATCTGTCCTATTGCTTGAGTTTTTTTTTTAATCAATATAAACTTGTTTCAGTGATTACTGTTTTGTAGTATACTTTAAATCTGGTACTAATAAGTCACCTTCCTTCCCATTTTTTCGTAATTACCTTTGAGATTCTTGACCTTTACTTCATTTGTTTTGTAGTTGTGTCTGACTCTTTTTTTTTATCTTAAAGTGTGCAATTATTTTATTTCCTTGCCCCATAGCAAGAACTTCATTTACACAGGAACCTGAAGCTAGTACAACAACTGACAAAGAGAGGTGTTTCCCCATCACAGGGGACCAGATTTCCAAGCAAAGATGGAACTAAATGGTTGAGTTCAACACCTCTTTCCCTGCCCCCCTCCCCTCACCATAAGAGAAAACAATAATCAAAACCGACAAAAATAAATCAGGACCCAGAACTTTCTAACAGCAGCTTTGATGAATGAATACACAACAAGGGAGTTGAATTTATCAACTATCTATGTGTACATGGGAGCAAAAATGCTAGAGAGGTAATCCCCCTCCCCACCTTCCCCTGTAACCAGAATTGTGGGGTTTAGGAATGATAGGGAAAGTTCCCACCTACAGTTGGGAATGTTTGAAGGTTAATCAAGTCCAGGGCAGATAGGGCTTCTTATTCTATACTAAAAGGTATGCAGAGAGAAGCTGGGACAAAAGTTCTCCATAAATTCAATTTAGCAATATATCCTGCCTACCCTCCTTTCCAAAGTCCACGAAACTCAGAGTCACATCCTTTTAGTGATTTTATCACCACTGGGACATTTCATAAGACTGTGGAATGGAAGTTAGACAGGAGGGTAAAGGAGTTATATTTTAAGGTCCTAATGCCAAATAAGTTTCCTCTTTGGTCCCCAGGCCTGGCCCTCAGTTTAGAAGGACAAGGAAATGTCAGGTGGGAGAGAGATGCAAGCTCCTGGCCCAACACCTCCACAGAAGACAAAAAGGAGCAAACACTCTCCCCTTATCCTCCATACTCCATGTCTTTCTGTACTGTCTTTTAAGTGCAGTCTGGAGATACAAGCCCAATAAGCCAGGCAACAGTGGTTATAACTTTAGG